CCCTTCGCCCAACTCCGCCATTGTGAGCGGACGCAGCAAAGAGACATTGATGGACGTTGATGGACGTTCCCCATTGAGCAACTCAGACCTTTCCATTTGTAAAGCCTCTTTCAGGAGGAAAGGTTTACAAAATGAGCATTGAGGAAAGACAAGAAGGGGGGTGGATGTTCGATATGACAGGTCTCTCCGAGTGCTCCCAGCTTTCTGACAGGTGTGGGTGAAGGACATGTGAGGTAATCTAGAGTTTGACAGCGCGGATATAAGCACTGACACTCTGGGTGTCAGGGCATTAGTGTTTCCGTTTCCTTGCACACACTGTCTCCCGCTCACACGCATCCACTGCAGGTCAAATGTCTGCTGATGAACCAGCTCTGAAATACAAGCTCGGGCCCGAGATGTGCTGGTACAGATAAGCGGCACTTTTATTTATTTTTTTTTTTTTTGAATGGCTATCACTCAGCCCCATTAAGAGATAAATTGCACTGGCTGTAATTTCAAGTCTGCCCGTGAAATCCTAATCAAAAGGGCTCTTAAAATATTTTTGCTGCACATGAGCATGACGGGCCACGTCCCATGAGTTACAGCAGGCAGGGTCGTCCGTCAGCGATCGCATTTCGGTGCCATAAAACCTGCATCTGTCCCATCCATCGTCTGGGACTGACATGTCCAGGCCTTCTCGCCAACTACTACATTCTCCCAGCCAGAGGAGAGGGACAGGGGCTGGGTTACACTTCCCTTCTGCCATCACCAGAGGCGTGGATGGGCTTTTGAGAGGGGTCAGGCCTGGAGGTCAGAGATCGGGCTTAAGTCAGTGTTACTGGGCATGTAAAGGGTCTCTATGCAGAGTCCCTGGAGAGCGACAGACACGATGGGGCTAATAGAGCCTGCTGCGTGACAAATGTCCATCTACGCTCTGGAATGGCACCTGTGTTGCAAACATATGGCAGCGAAATTGAGACGTATTGGAGAGCTGTCTCAGAGAACAGCCATAAAGTTGTCGCCCCACAGTTTTTTGGTGTTTGAGCGTGTGTGTGTGTGTGTGTGTGTATGCTGTAAAACTAAATACATTATGTACCTTTCTCCCCTGATATTAAATGGAGATAAGGTGAGCAATTGCTGAAAATGCTGAGTGTGTCAGATCAGCACACTTGATCGTCTCCTCCCACACTTCATTTACTCTCTCTTTATTTCATTCAACTTCTGCTAGCCAGGCGAGAAACAGCCAGAGACTATAAAATAAAATTTGATATCTGCCGTTGTATCGTGTGGCTTCAGGTCTTAACTCTGACTTCTGAGATTAAAATGAAGCTGTGAAAACTTTTATTTTACTTTATAAATTATGTTTCTGTACTGCAAAACCCAGTTTTCTTAATCAGTCTTGCTTTCCGGTAAATATATATAAACATTCCTAAAACAAGATCAATTTACTGGAGTTTATTTTTCTTATCCCATTGTCAGTTTATTTTCTTGCTGTAAGCGTACACTAAATTTTGTTAGATTTATGCTTGAAAACAATTTGTCAGTGTTGCTTGATAATATTTTCATTATAATTAATGCAATAAAAACTCTTCCAGCTTCCTTTCTATTCCAGACTATTGCTGAGATGCAATCATTTGAACTTGGCTGTTATACTCTATGTTATACACACTTGTTATTGTGTTAATTTATTCAAACATTAAATAATTACGATATCATTATAAAAGATTAGACAAAAATAAAAAATAAAGATAAAAACATAATTCTGTCACATTTTTTGCCCACTGTGTCTTTTACGTCAACTCTCAATGACAGTACATGTCACATATATTCTCTGAAAACAGTTCTTAATATTTTATGCAAATCTTAAGTGCTTTGTTGTTGTTTTCTGCAAAACAAGACCTTTTTTTTCTGACCAATACTGCTTAACCAGTACAGCATTCTACCTGTGTTCAATATATAAGTATGAAACAAACCTATTGTACACCTAGTGTAGCTACTATTTTTATCAATAAGAAGCTTTGATCACACCACCCCTGTGAGCCACAGTGTGAGTTCTTTGGGCTAAAATTATTTCACCTATCTTTGAAAGTGATCTTCCCTAGGCCTAATGACACAGGAAGCATATAGAGTTGTGTTTACTTTTGGGGGCAAAAGTGAATTGAGTCCAGAAGAGCTCCTTTCCCACAACGATTGTATGTCTGACAGTTTGATTATCATGGGAGTGAGTGGTACCATGCGCCATCGGTTGCAGAGGAGGCTGGAAATTGAATTTTAACAGGCTCAACAGTCTCTCTTTCCTCTCCTTCCATTGTTTTTGATTTTGTTGTTGTGTTCTTTGAAGCCGGCAGCTGCAAAGTAGATAGGACCCAATGGAACGTGTACACCTAGACTACGGAAATGTACGCAAGCACTCCCCCGAGGACGTTATGAGAATCCAATCTGAAAGCTGTCTGTGCACTTTCACTGCCTCTGGGTTTCAGGTACTTGCTTTGTTTTGGTCAAAGAATAGATCAATCCTTTTTTTTTGGGTTACAGCCCATCCTGAGGTTTTGTGTTTGCGTGGATGACTTTTAGGGGAGATACAGAACATGTGTACAGACCTCAGACAAAAGCTAGAAGCTAGATGTGTTGTGATTCCCAACAGATTTGCACTCATGTACCTGTGTGTTGCCTTAAGCAATCCACACCACACCTGTCTTCTTCTTTCAGCTTCTCAGCAAACCTTTCTTACTCTCCTGCATTCTCTCAGCACATCACATTTTTACTCGAAGAGAGCACACTGTATCCCAGTATACTGCGGGGGTGGTCAGAACATCCTCTTTGATTCATGATCAGCCAGACACACCTGAACCTCCGGGCTAGAATCACATCATCATTAGGGATGCGCTGTTTGACAAAAATCGTATACATCACGCTAACGGTATCACAATAGTCTTATTTTTGCAGGAATTTCAACCTTGTGAATCTGACTAGGTACGTCTGAAGCCATTGGAAAATGTATGCATGCTTGCACACCTGTGACCGTACATCTGTTGAATTTTATAATAATGTGGCAAGTTCCAATGTTGCTTGGCAACCTTGAACAATCTACAGCAAGGGTTTTCAAACTTTTGTATAAATTTTCCTGTATAGTTTACTTTTTACGGTGTGAGAAAAAATATTAAGAATATTTTCAAACTGGTAATATATTTTTTATTATTATTTTGACAAAGCAATAAAGCCGAAATAAATTCTGAAAATATTATTTGGAAAATATTTACTTTGTACCATGTTGACAGTTTACTTTTTACCCACTACTAGTGTAAGATTTATAGGGTTTTTTATACTTTTTTGTGTTTGTGTGTCACACACAAACACGCAGAGTTTTGGGTTGGATTACAGATTTCACAGAGGTTAGCACACAACACAATAGCAACTTTTGGGTTTTCAGACTTAGAAAAAAGTGAAGGCGCAAACAGACAGGAAGGCTAGAGCCCTTGTCATAAGTTATGCTTATAACCTACTGTACTATAATCTACTAGCATAAGTGTCTTCAAGCCTGTAGATGTTTCAAAGAGAGGAACAGGAGATGAGAGTGAATGAAACAGACACATACAAGAAGCTCTGGAAAAGGTCAAAGATGCCACAAAAAGGCCCTGTCACACCAGAGGAGAGTCCAAATCTGCCAAAAGCTTCTCAACTGCCCTGCACACTCACTTACTCGCTGTTTGTCATTCTGCTTAGCTCTTACAGCAACCCTGCTGTATCAAACTGCCATCAAAGACAGCCATATGAGTAACACAGCAGAGCGCAGTAAGTTGAGCAATGGTTTTGTCTTTCTGAAAAGGCTGCTTCGCATACATATCATTGTGTTTCATCTTATCTGTGTTCAAGGAAAAAGGATTTTTTGGCCTCAAGTTACAGCACGTAATCTCTTGCACTCTCTTTCAATTTCTCATTCTAGATTTGACTCACCAGAGGTTTAAAGAAGGACATGATCCCTTGCAATGTGACAAATGCTGCTTAAGATCCCAGATTCGAAATCGACATAGCTAGCTGTAGGCTAATGCTAAGTACACAGCTTAATCGGTCCTTAAAACCTCCCCTTTTTCTCACCTCTGTGCTACGACCAGAGAAGTTCATTGTTAAGGAGCTTGCAAAGGTGCTTTTAAGGCTCTGATTATGTGCCTCTGCAATGAGACCTGTTAAGTCTGATTCACCGTGTGAAGCCTTTAGGAGAGAGAAGGACAGAAAGAAGACAATGACAAAGATGCTAAGAAAAAGGGTAAATAATGAGTAAGCATACACTGTGTCACTAGCTTTGTCTACGCCACTTCCTGTACAGTTACATTAGAACAAATGAATGATCAGAACTAGACTTTAAGATTGAAGAAGGCATTTTTCCTGGTATTTTTATTAAAAATAAAGTAATTTCAGTAGAAATCTGTGCATTAGCGGGAAAATTCCACATGTAGATTTTGGACATGTTCAAGTTGGTCATGCAGAAAGCTGTTTGGCTTGACTTCTATGTGAGCTGTGCTTCCTACATGGCTACATTATTGACAATAAACAATGAACTTTCTTGCCTATGAAATTTCACTGAAATATCAATAATGTGACTGGCAATGAAGATCCACTACCCAAACGCTGCAGCTTCATACACTTCTTGTTAACATGGTACAATCCCAAACAAATCGAAGGGTGGATTTACTGCAATTATGACAGATAAGTGCCGCCAGGATCCCTGGCACATGTGAAAGCGAATGTCTAATCGTCTCAGTCATATGCTTATATGTGTACGTTTACGTGCATATGTGTCGTTGTCATTATATACTTACTTTGACAGCTGGTGGGGGTGGGTACTAAATAGTTAAAAGTCATCATCACCCTATTGTAATATGTCCCAGATGTTCTTTGGCAAAAGCACATTCATCCAGACACATTTGCCTAAAAGCCACGATTAATTACCAAGGACAACTGCTTACATATGCACAGCATTATTCGCCATTGGTTAACCCAGTTCCGTTTTATTCTTTCCATAGAGCAACCGTCCAATCAGCACCATCAGGGCCAGTCCACGCTGCCACCGGTGCCGCCCCCGCACAAGCAGCAGCCGTCGGTGACGGCGCTGAACCACAACTCTCTGAGCAGCCGCAGGAACGTGAGCCCGGCCCCTCCGGCCGCCCTCCCCGCCGAACTGCAAACCACACCCGAGTCAGTGCCGCTGCAGGACAGCTGGGTCCTGGGCAGCAATGTGCCGCTGGAGAGTAGGTCAGTTACGCAATTGCACACACCAGCACAGTTACATCCCAAAGTGTGACCTGTGTTATGGAAAGGTCCTTTATTTGACATTCCTCACACAGCTCTCTCTCAAAGCACTGCAGGGCTTATATATATATATAATGCAGCCTGTATCCAGTTAACTAGTAGACATACTAATAAGCCTCAACGTATAATTTACATTCATCATTCATAGAGGAATTTTTGACCAGCATCAGTCAAAATGAGGTTTCTGTTTATCATCAGTCTCACAAAACGGTTTATAATATGGCAGCGTCAAAAGGTGCTTCTGCTGACTCTGCTAACATCCTAGAGTGCGAGTGACTGAGGCCTTGCCAAGCTTAGGGGAGGATACGGCTTGGTTATTTTCCTCCCATAAATCAGTGAGGCTGTAAGCTTGGAGGATACTCTGAGGGGTCTTTAAACACTAGCAGAAGGGAATGCTTTGTTTCGGGGGTTTGCACGTTAGCGCCGTAATGGCCTCTCTTTGTTTTTGATCTACTCTTTCATGTGACACTGTATATATAATGACTAAGCCTCCCCCATTAAGCGATGTTACCACCTCGTACTCCTTTCATTCATCCTGCGTGATACAAGCACCGAGACAAACAGAGTGGGGGTGAGTGCAAAGAGAGAAAATGAGGGTCGTTCGAGAAACTTTTGGTAAGTGATGCTGTCATTGTGCTAAATGTCTTACTGCCATTCTTTAAAAATACTTGATAAAAGGCAGTCAAGAGAAAAAGGGACAGCCTCACTTCCCCTCCACAGCCTGAAAGCCATAGACCTTAGTCCGGATAGACAGAATATTAAATTTGATGTAAATGAGAGTGAGGCTTTGAGGGATATATGTACAGTCTGTTCAGTGGCTAATGGTACCTGAGTATCAAGCCAACAAAATCTGAAAATTGTCTTTCTGAAAATGCTCTAGAGATGTAAATGGCTCCAAGTTCATACTGAAATAAATGTAAATGTAACAGTAAATGTAAATATAAATGGAAAGTAAATGCAACAGTACCTTTCGACAGTATTTTACTACATTACAGGTGGTGTGTAATGCGGCTTCACGCATGAATGGTCAAATTCATTTCTCAATGAAAATATGCATTTTGAAAAGGTATTAATGTAAATACAGTCTGTTTGCATTAAGATAAAATAAACAAGCAACATATTGGATTTAAATAATGGTATTAATATTGACAAGTACTGTGTATTTATATTTATTATGTTAGTTTATTTATAATTATTACACGGCTAAATAATTGATTCTGACTGGTCAGTCGCGACATTCCGAGGTATGCTATCCCTCGATAACAACCGGTAAAAGCTAATAACACAGGCTCATCCGGGTAACAATGCTGCCATTTTTCTAAGATTGTTTTGTACGCTGTAATGGATTATAAGAGAACTAACAAACTGGTAAGGTTTTAAAAATTTTTTGTCTTAATTCTTTTATTGCCTTAATTATTTTTGTGGTGAAATGTTGTGTAATAAGTGGTTTGACTGCACCGTTTCCCTTAAATGTCCGTCTAGTTTGAATTTGCCGCTTGCTCGCAACTGCTGTCTTCACGGAAGCTTTGCGTTCAAATATTTCAACTCAAATCAATATTTCGCGTCTAATTATTTACTTATGTGGCAAGTAGCTGTGTAATAAGTGGGATAATGTATGTTATCCCTTACTTATTTTAATATTTGTATACTTGAATAATTACATGGAAAATGTGTTTTATGTTTATTTATATTTGATCATTTATATTAAATGGCATTTACTTAATTATTTTAATTAATAATATTAATACGTTTTGCTGTGGTATTGAAATTAATATTGAGAATTGTGAAATTTCACTTTTATTGGGATAGACTACTAAAATATCGGTATTGTGACAACCCGACAGTGGACAAAAATACGTTAAAAAAATAGACATTAAACAGACTGTACTTCGCCCTCACAGCCTTGTATTCACTTGCATTAAATTAAATATGACACATACCCCGACTAAGGTCTACAGGCATGCGAGTACGGATGAGTGTCTTGCTTTTGAGTTTATATTTTATGAGCGCCAGTGCAAACACAGTGTTGAGAGATCCAGGAATAACACACCTGCTTCAGCACCGCCGCCCTCGAGTTTCACTTCATGGCCCTTCACATGGACACAGTGGTCCCAAAACAGGAATATCCAACAGCTACACTTCCTTTATGGTCTTTCCCTGTTTTCCACACAACTCACTTTTTTACTATGTGGCCATCTTGCTCTTTAACTTTGTGTCGTGTCAACCACAGTAAGATTTTTGCTCTTTAGTCCATTGTTGTTCACCCACATTGTTTTGCTTTCTGTCTCTTTTCCAACGTACACTCTGCTATTTGTTTTTGTTCTTCTCTCTCTGTCTCAGTGGTCACACCATATCCCCGAAATGAACTTGGCGGTCCTCCACTCATATTGATAAAGCATTATGTAGATTTCTGTAGATATTAGCAAGAGATCTAAAATTTCTGTTTATTTCCTGAGGAAGACCACACTGGACCACACACATTCAATAGGCTCTCTGACACTCACAGATGCTTGTTAATCCGTACTATAGTGGCGCATCTTTTCAGATAAACACTCTTAAAACACACACTCATTCAGTTACGCTCGAAAGCACACATTGTTGCGTGTCTGCGTAGCAGCTTTGGTTCAAAAGGTGCCGTGTTCCAAGTTAGACATGGAGCTTACTTAACAACTGTTTACATGATACAGACTGACTTTTAGAGTTAAAATAAACAAAACATCTAGCTCCCCGACAGGCACAACAGTGAAGTTTAGATGAAAATAATGAAAAACATCAGCACTAGTAAATGGATGAAAACGTGCTGGCATAGAGTGGAAATACAAACACTTCACAACATGTGTTCCTGAACAATTCCACTGATTTGTTTGAGGCAGGAGACGCTGGCTGAAGAAATAATAAAAAATAAAAAAAAATCAGTAGACTGCATTAGCCGTTGGAGAAAATTGCACAATCCAGTCCTTAAACGCGTCCTGCTAATTTACTTGCACTGGAATAAGTTATCATTTGACATTATTTAGTGGCTGTTTTACATAAATTTCATTAGAGGAACAATTCAGAATTTGTTTAACAGACAGGCTGTTAAGGTATAGTAAATTGCTCCAGTGACACACTTCCAATATGCTTCAATGAAGACTGCGTTCCTGTGTTTACAAGCATGAACGATTGGTTCCCGGGGCTCAGGTGGCATTGTTTCAGCAATTACTGACTGTTTCTTTAAGCCATTATTGACATTGTCATGAACCTTGTGGTGAAATGCAGATCACGTCTAAGCATATGCTTCCACATTCTTGTAATTGCGAACAAATTGTGCTAAACAGGCAATTCAGTCTAAACGATCATGACTCTTGCTTTCGTACAGTCAATTACCTCACTCTACTGTCTTTACTCTCATCATTATTTGATGATACTGTTAAAGTGGGGAATAGAGAAACATGAGAAGCCTCTTGAGACACCTGCCGGTCCTTAACTGATTAAAATAACTCAAGATCTCCACATTCAGTGACTGAGAATTTCAAATGTAAAAGCAAATCAGGCAACTGGCGAACATGCTTCTGGACCAAAGTATGTAAGTTGAGTGAAGAGACAGCAACTTCGTCTCCCATTACTCTGTTCCAACATTTCATTGTTTTAATGTTATATTTATCTTTCATCTTACTGCTGGTAGTCTGTTAGCACTGTTTAATGGTTGGTGAATTCTTGCTTCTTAGGCTGTTAACATACATGTTCTGCTCAAGATGGAGTGGTAATGTATTTATCTTGAAATGAGAGAGAACACTAAAGCTCTTGAAATTCCGAAACCTCGCTCCTTGCTCTAGGCAAAATAACGCATCTTGCAACATACTCTGTTCTGGACATTATTTTATTTTTGCACATATCAAAACGGCCCTATTTTCAAGCTACTCTCTATGTGGAGATAACCAGCAAAGTGCACATCAGCCGCACACAGGAGTCCCTCGTGTGAATCTCAAAGCACTTTTGACTCATAGGTCAGCTCCCATGTCACACCTCAGAGGTTAGAAAGCTAAAGATAGACCTCACGACTTTCACCATCACATGAGAGAAGGAAGTGCTCATTGCACTTGATTACAAAAGCTCATTTACTGTAGATAAATGCCTGTTATGAGGAGGAAAAGTAATTAAAGCCTTAAATAAATCTCCTGTAAACTTTCCTTGGGCAAAAGACAGTAAACTGAGAAAGTGCCCAATGAACATTTTACCTTGTTTGTTGTCTTTGTCTTTGGTAAATGGTTTTAAAGAGCAGTGATTTATTGCTTCAAAACAAAACCAGGCATCAAATTGTCATTAGAGTAAAGCATCATCAATCAATATAACATCAATAGGAGTTATTGTAATTAAAAAAAAAAAGTGTGAAAGCCTGATGACTCATAGCGGATTGTGTTCAGAGTACAATCACACACCATCCTGCCAAGCCTAGCCAGTTGTCAAGAGCCTTTAGATGTTTGGTTATTTTATCTATGATCTCCAACACCAGTTTAGGAACAGGGAACAGTCAATCCACGCAGACAAAACACACAGCAACTGTGAGATGCCACTCAGTACAGGCTTATTTAAGTGCTTAGGATCATTCAGTACTGACACTTTGTCCTTTGTCACTTTTATAACTTGCAAATGTTCACTGAAGAACACACTGCAGGCAGCATTGAAAAAATTGGCTCCTTGAGAATAACTATAGCCCCTATTTGCATTTTCCTTCACATAGAGGTTATGATGGTTTTTATTCATTTGTTCTTCTCTTTCTGCCTCCATACTGTGATGTGAAGTGGAAACCTAAATTTTAGCATAATTTAGGCCAGTTTCTATAAGTTATTATGAGAGAGATTGTTTATCACTGTCAATATAAGTACTGTAGATTGACTACAGATATAAGTGTGAAGCAAGCATAAAACTGATATAAAAGAAATGTTTATTAGTTCTGAAGGTCATTGGTCCTTTGTCAGAAGAGTAGAAATTTTGTTTCCACCAGTTCATCTAAACATTTTACTGCATCCAATAGTAATTCCACGTCTGAAAATTTCAGAAATTGTATTCTCTTTTAAGTAGACTATCTTCGATTACACTGCCGTATATACGCATTGTCAAGTTATTTTCCAGTTCCCTCTTCCTAAATCTTCTGTGAAGGCATTTGTCAGAGGATGACAAACGTGAAAGGAGATACATGGATTAGCATAGCAATTTCCAACCTGATGTCATGCCTGCTATAATCAATTAACAATGGTTATCCCGTCCCTCATGCTCCGAAATCCCTGTTCGTTGTCTTCTGTGTCAAAGGAACGTTATCCTGTCTTACCCAAACACCAGATGCCCCAGTCTGTCCACAGACACTACAGCTGGAGATTTTATCTCTGGTTTTTATCACGCGTCTTCTATTATCTCTCGTTTAAGTGGGTGATGAATGTACTTTGTTTTAACATTTTACTAAGAGTCTAATCTCGGCATTCAAAGTAATTCAAAACTATTTTCAAGCCCGCACCACAATTGTTCTTATTGCTATGATCCTTTTAACTGTGATGAAACCCAATGTTATGTGACTATAAATGCCATATGAACTGTGAGGATAGAGTGAATTGAAAGTGTCAGCAATCATCATAAAATCTAATTAACATTCATAATTTTCCTCACAAAGTGACTTAAATTGGTCTTTCCAGAGTTAAATTTCCCAGAGTTTGTCTTTGTCTCTTTTTCTATTCATTTGTCTTGAAAGGTAGGGCAAAAATGAATTTGAAACTACATATAAATCACTTTAAAGGCTGTTGTGTGGTTTGTATAAAAGCAGGCCAGTCAGTGTAATTCAAGCCCGACGAGCATATGGTCAAGTCGTGTTATTGAGTTACATATCTGCAAGTCACTTGTTGTAAAAACTTGAAGTAAAGGATTGAACTCCTGCTATGAGGTCAGAAGGGTGAGTTGGTTAGAGCGTAGGTCATGGTGGTGTTATGCAGGAAAACCAAGAGGTCATGTGCAAAGTCATATTGAATTACTCTTAGAATCTATGCATCAGTTTTCAACCCACAAGAACATTTGTGGAGAGGAATGAGAAACTCCACATTGCCCCATGGCTTTAGATCAGTGGTTCTCAAGTGGTTTTACTTTTTGGTCTTCGATTGGCACAATGCTGAAATTGTTTAGCATGCATAAATAAGCAAGACTGAAGTAAAATTAAGTGAAACATTGATAATTATATTTTAATTATTGCTTATTTATAAATGTCTCAGCAGCCAATAACTCACTGCATAAACACATTGTGGTCAGCACAAACCAAGTGAACCAGTATTTAATGTAGTCTGGACAATATTTTCCTTTAACTTGTAGTTTTTCATGGTTTTTGAGGCTGAAAGCTTGTCACACAAGCTGTCTATGTTGGTAGCTTAACTAGCTTCCAACAGGAGACAGATGAGTTTTCATCAAAATACAGTAGAATATGTTTGCACGCACGGCCTTTGATGTCAACGAAATCATAGTGATCATAGTGATGTCAACGAGATTCCATAACAAGATATGGGAAAAGTTGTTTTCTCCCTCATAAAAGTTGATGAGCCTATTTTTACATCCTAACAACACACAATTACATGGTTAGTTGCGTTTTTGACCTTTAGCATTGCTTTGCCCTGCTGCCTGCAGCTCTATCAGACCAGATCTGTGACCCATTTCAGGGTCACGACCCATCAATTGAAAACCACTTCTTCAGATTATGTGCATCTCTAGAGATTCCCATCCCTCGCTCAGAGGATGCTATTCACTGTAGAGGAAGTATAGTAATTAATATATTCTCACACTTAGCTCATAGTGGATGTAGAGAGCCTACCAATAACACTTTACAGTCATTCAGCGTGCTCGAGTAATTCTGTGGCTCTATTCACCGTAATAAATATTCCTCCATATCAGAGCATGTTAGTGCTTCCATTTAGAGGAAAACGGATTGATACATCGAACATAAAACTGCAGTATACTTGTTTTATGAGTCTTTTCATGTGTGTGGGTCTGTCTTTCATTCGGGGTACATTCAGCTATGACTGACTGCCGTCTGGGAAGCTCTTTCTCTGTGGATTTGCTGCCAAACTCATAATTAGAAATACCTTGACTGTCTCATCACCAGAAAGCACTGACGACCTTTATTCTAATTGTTTGTCTTTCTCATGTAGAAAATTAGCAAAGCAAGCAGTTCTTGAAAACGGGCATGACAACTTAATAGAGATGGATGTGTTCCCTCCTGTGTGCCACGAGGGCGGCTATGGGGACGGGTATGTGCTCCTGAGTCTTCTCATGGTGCCAGCTGCTGATGCCAAGCCCAACACTGAGCCAACCAAAGTGCTAAATCTCCAGACCCCCCACCCCATCCCAAACCCCCCCAAACAGAAGGCCACCGCTGAGCCAACCAAATGGCCAGAGTCCCATATTGAGCCAACCGAATTTAGACAAAGCAGTCATGCACTGGCCCAACCTCCTATCCTATATCTCTCCCTTCCCTTGTTGGTTTAGCCAATGAATGCAAAATATCAAGAGCCACTTGATTGGCAGCCGCTTCTGACACTGGTACTAGCTTAGGAATAATTGCTCTAAATTAAGTTCCAATAAAAATCCACTAATATGCTAATCGATTCACCACTTGCATAAATCAAGTTACACAGCCTTTAATATTTTAATTTGACTAATACTTTAATAGATATTCCTGCATTACTAGATTAAATCCTGACTGCCTTGCACAGCATCTTGGCTTTGATTGGGTTGATTGATAATGTTAAAGTAAAAGTGAGTTGGCAGCAACTGTTTACTGCACTAAAACAAGAGCACAGTTTCTCTCTCTCTCTCTGTGTCTCTCTTTCTCTCTATAGCTGCATTAGAATGCAGAGACATTGTCGAATTGTCTCGCTAATTGGATTTAGTGCTCAGTGTTATTTGATATCGCAGCTCGAATCATCTGTTTGTTCCATTGTTCAGTGTCTTCATGGGTCATTCTGTCAACATAAAGAATGCAATCGAACAGACAACCATGCAGTTTTAGAGAATTGCTTAGCTCTGCCAGCTTGTGAGATGTTTTGTTTAACAAAGGGAGGGGAATTCATGTGGTGGAAGAGGGTTATGTCTAGGCCTTTAATATGTGTATTGGGGAGACCAGGGTTAGATTTCTCTTTTTTAACTCCAGTAAATATTTCTCAGGTTTGTTTTTCACAGGTAATTCTGTATAGACACATATCCTAAAGTTTTCGAGCCCAAAAAATCTATTAAACATTACAAATACATTGACTTTATATGAGGAAAGTCAGCTGAATGGAAGTTGCCATTAAAAAGCTTAATAGGTGTCTTGATCTAAATTTAAACAGTAATAATGATTTTTTTTTATGAAAAGTGTAAAAATATTAACAATTGTTGACAGTTAACAATTAAAAATAAAAAACATTCATGATAAAATTCCAGTCTTCTGGTTAAAATCTACCTTCATTGTGTGATTGTCTTGTAAAATGTATTTATTTGTAATATTTATTGACTTATAATTCTATATAATGAAAAAATCTCTTTACATAAGAGAATATTCTGTAATTGAATTTGATATATGTATTTAAAAACCAACGTGCAAAACAACTGCTGGAGAAAATGCACATTTATGTATTTGGACTTTTGTTTCAGAACTTTATATTTATTGAGATACTAATTCTGGTTTCCTCTACAGTCCTACACCTGGGATAATATGATCTTTAAATGCTAAAAATAATGAAGTCAATTTTTTCCCTTTCTGCTGAGGAAACAATACCATTGGTGATTTTTAATTAGAAAAAGCTTTTTCCTCCACCTCTCAAGTCCAATCAACTGATTCCAGATTTTTAGTGGAAAGTGCCACTCACACACGCTCACACACAACGTTTCCCATTTCTCCACTTTCATTTGGGCAAAGAAACACAGCAGGCTACAAGGGAAGTCAAACACTAGGGCTTTGATTGAGATGTGTTCGGTAAAGGTTGAAAAGTGAAGAGGGCTAGATTTTCACTGTGGTGTTCAAGCAAACAGAAAGGGCTGGCTTAATAAATGTGCTGGTAATATCTGCCCAGCATAATTACCACATGCCAAGGGCTTCTGTTAGCCAATCATACTTTAAGTGCCAATCAGCAGGAGAGGGTGACACTAGCTTAGCGGGAGACGTACAGGAGCAGGGCAGTTTGGGAGGGCTGTACGCCTCACTTCCTGTACTGCGCCCTGCTCTGTGAACAATCTGTGCTGCTGTAACTATTCATTTAAACTAATTTAGAGTTAATATACTCAGCTTTCCGTGAATAGTTCTAGATGCGATTGTTAAATGCTTTAAAAATAATAAAACTGGTTCTGATTTTATGAACCGTATCAGATCGTACAAGTTCTTGGCATTAATCTTTATTGCCTAAAGCTGTTCAATGCAAAATACTTAAAAAATGTATATCTTTTGAAATGAGATTAAATGTTCATCGCTTTTCTCTTTCTGTCTCTCTTTTTTTCTTTCTCTCAGGCACTTTCTCTTTAAGACAGGCACCGGCACCACTCCTCTGTTCAGCACGGCCACGCCAGGCTACACCATGGCCACGGGGGCGGTCTACTCGCCCCCCACACGGCCCCTGCCCCGCAACACACTCTCCCGCAGCGCATTCAAGTTCAAGAAGTCCTCTAAGTACTGCTCATGGAGGTGCACGGCCCTCAGTGCCATGGCTGTCTCAGTTCTGCTGTCTGTGCTGCTCTGTTACTGCATTGGTAGGTGAAAAGTGAACACATGACAGTAATGGGTCCACCTTAAATATGTACATAAATTTCAGCATGTGGTGCATCCTTGGGAATAATCACTTTGGATCTAAAGAAAATGCTTTAAAAATATGTATTTCCAAAAAAAAGTGGTCTCTTGGCTCAACTTGCCCCCAGTGAGGGGTAAATTGAGCCACATGGGGTTAAACTATGCCACTGATTATGCTGAAGTAAAACGGAAAATTTTCACCTTGTGCTATATCAAAAGAAGATAATTTCAATATAAATGACTTCTTAAAATCTGTGTGTGAGCCTTGTAATGGACTGGCCATTCATACAGGGAGTTTCCCAGCCTGTGGCTCAAGACACTGGCTTGACTTTGAAGATATTTTTTAAATTATTTAAACATTTCAGAAAAAAAGTTCAAATTGAAGAATAAAAAAAAAAAAACAGAGTGCAACTGACCTTACAGAACTGGGCTAATAGTGCTCAACATCCCACTTATAAATGTTGCAGGGAAATGCAATTTCATAAAAACTTCAAAGGCCAATTTTCATAAACAAGGCCTATTTAAATTTTTCAGAACAAAATCAAGTCCAAAACAAAGAACAAAATCAAAAATGCTTGGTCTAAAACTAATGAAATATCATGTAGAATTACAGTAAAATAATACTTTATAATCATAAGAAGGGGTGTGCCACTGGCTCAACTTACCCTAGGATTTTCGGTTCAAATTACCATACTCCTACCATTTTAACAAACTTGTATCATCCAGCAGTTTAGAGCTAATATCATGCTAACACTACAACCTTATATTATAACTTCCTAAAGCACAAGCATGTGTGATATTGTTTCAGATTTGTCAGTAATTATTCAGACACAAGAAGCATGAGTCCTTGGACATACAAAAAAAAAATTTTTTTTTTTTTTACCAAATTATTGGGCCTCCCTCTATCACAGGGTGACTAAAATGGTTAACTCTTGAAATATGTGTGGTCATATCACCAATTTTATTTAAGGTAGATGGTTATATAAATAACCTATAAATGGTTGATTAGTAAAGTCGACGTTTTATATATTTATTCATTTAAAGTTTTTTCAGGAGGTTTTTTTTATTAGTATTCTGACAGTTTAATTTAGCTAGATAAAAAATTCTCTGAAAATTAGATTTAAATTCATCCCTATTTAAATACCGCCACTTGTGATGAAAATTGTCTTGGAACCTCTACTTTCTGTTTTAATTACTTTAACATTATGCATCCTAAAAGCCAAGGCAACCCTGAAACCTGGAATTATTTTACTATAATTTAATCATTTTGTTCATAATATATTATGTTTATAATATATAATATATATTTTTTAATTATTAATATTTAAATATTTTAAATAAATAACTATTTATCTAAATGTATTTCTCAATTCAATTATATTTATTTTTATTTTATTACATTTACATATAATATTATTGCATTATTAAGTAATGATTTATTGCTTCTTTAAAGGGATAGATCACCTTCATTTGGTCCCCATTAACTTGCATAGTGTTATTTTTCCATACTATGGAAGTCAATGGGGACCAGCACTTGAATATGAACTATCCCTTTAAGACCGACAAGTCATTCAGGCAACCAAAAGTACATGTATTTTTGCACATCCCTACTTTGCAGCTCCTGAATAAAGTGAGAGCATCATGTCCCTCCAAACCACTTATTTATTCAGAAATGTTACTACCACTTGAATTTTTTGTAAGTTTATGTAGCTATAATTTCATCCAGGCTACCCCTAGCAAGCCTGCAAAATGCTGTAATGGCTGTGGAGTACTATTTAAAAATCAACTGCTTTGTCAATTACATTGCCATGGAAACCACTGCAAATTTTTGTGTATTACACAGTCACCTGCACAGTTGTCCATGTAGCGTTTGTCACCATAGTAGCAGAATGCAGTCACATCGACAGACAAACATTTTGCTTATTTTCCTGTTGCGTCGTCAAGGATTTAAGTTCGCTTTCATTCGGTATTTATCACATACTGTGTGCCAAATGTAGACAGCCTTGTTTAAGCTTCCTCTCTGAATGGAGCCAGTTGTTTCCTCATTCCATACAAATGTCACGCTGATGAGAGGATTTGTGAATGGCCTGTAGAGATGCTGTTTTGCACTGCGAGGTGGGCTGGTTTGTCTCAAAGGCACGATGATTCTGTTGAACCACATGGGAGAGACAGTGATACAGCAGGCATTGGACATCTGTTTATTTTTCTTCAGTTCACACTGCACTCTTCTGCTATAATGTGAGTGTTTTTACTCCTGGGCATTTTTGCAATGGCTCTGTTACTGACGAGAGAAGGGGAGCACATAAAGAAAGAAAGGGAGGAGAGAGAGGGGTATAACATGCAGGCTTTCTCACAGATATATTCCAAAATAGAACTGGACTTTTTTCTTCTTCTATAAGCTTAAGGAAGAAGATGTGCTTAATCTTCAGAAATATTATTCATCCACTTCAGACTGTTATATGTGGTTGAATCTGACAAACACCTTCAAAACACGTCATATTTCACTCCAAAATCAAAAGGGGAAAAAAAACTACTATTCATAGAGAAATTTAAGCTTGTTATTAGAATTACATTTATTTATTTATTTATTTATTTATTTATCTATTTGCATCCTGAAACCACTCTGTAACACAAAAAAACACCCCATTCTCATTGTCATATTTTTAATGTAAAAATAATTATTAGTGCTGTCAAAATTAGCGCGTTAACGCAGGCGATTAATTCGGAGACGTTTCAGATGCGCGCTCCAACTTCACTTCAGTGCCAGGCACGAGTCAAATGAGCACAGTACTGTTCTCGCAGCGCGTGCGCTTCAATTGCATGCACAAAGACACCGGTGCGCGCTGTAGCCTTTATCATTTCATATCAAAGAGCGAAATAATCTAAGTGCATGCAAAGTCATGGTCAGTTAAGTCATGAAATTACCAAAAAGGCAATTAAAGCTGCCTTAAAACTGTGCATGCATGTAATATATTTTATATAAGTCACATTTAAGAACATGTCTCTGAAATGGTTTTCAAAACTGTTCTGGTGCAGCCCAGCACTGTCTCACTCATCTAACACACTCGATTCAACTCGTCAGTTCATTATTGAGGCTTTAAGACCTGAAGTGAGTCAGAAACGGTAAAGAGAATTGTGAGAAAATACGATGCGTGTCAGATCCGCGTCACGTTCAGCAGCGGCAGCTCTTAAAGAAATAGCAGCCAAAACAACCTAATATCCAGCTGCTGTGATGTCGATTAATCAAAGGACAAAGAAGAAAAAAGAGGAAATCAATAACTTTTTATATAGCTTTAAGGATTCATCTATATTTAATTTAGAATTTAGTGATTGATAACTTCAATTTCTGTATATTTCTGCTGAAGGGCACAGGTAAATATGACATTTATTATAATGGGTTTATATGAAGATTGTTTTAAGTTCACTTAAATTAGAAGTTATTTTTTAAAGTCTAATAAATGTTAAAATTGATAGCTCTCAATTATACTGTAATGTTGAATGGCTATAGTCAATGGGTTAAATATTAGGGGGGGGAAACAATTTTATAGAGACATCAGTAGTACTGGTATCAGTGATACTGGCCTTCAGTCATAAAAAAATGCCATTAAACAAATATTAAAAATATACTGTATTTATGTTGTTTGTACATTCATTTGAATATTTAATGTGAAATTATTGCAATAAAAAAGTATATTTAAAAACTTTAATGTTAAGTGGGATTAATCGTGATTAATCGCGATTAATCTCAGAAAAAATGTGTGATTAATTAGTTCATTTTTTTAAATAGATTGACAGCACTAATAATTATTTAAATTCTGCATTATAAGTACTGTTGTAAAACATACAATTTAAATGTGTAAATGCGGTGCTGAATTGCAAATACAGAAATTGCAAAGTTAAGGCATGACCATTAGACAGCAAAATGCTCACTGGGTCAGCACGGTTAGACAAAAACATGTGGAGAAGAAAATATGCATTAACTGCAAAAGAATTAAGGTGAAGAATTAGGTGTGAAACCATCAGGAACCATTTAGTCTCCAGCACCACCATTTTCCAGAACTGCAGCCTAACTGGAGTCTCCAGAAGTGCAAGGTGTCAGGTTCTCAGACACAAAGAATCCTAAAAAATGACCCTCACTTAATAAGAATAACATTCTGAAGTGTTGTGAAATATATGAAGACTCATTTTTATAGGCTTTATAGATAAATAAGTTGAGAGTGACTCTTGAAGGACAAGCACCACATCCTCTTGTACCACTGTTCGAAGAATTGATCTTCCGGAATCTTGCAGTAAGTTTTGGGAGATCATTTTTACTCCATCTATGCAAGACAGATATTTCAGGATAGGAGATCCACTAAAAAAGATCTCCCAAAACTTACTGCCAGATTCTGGAAGATCAATTCTTCAAACAGTGGTTATATATTAACAAAACACATGGTTATATAAAAACAAAATATTAACAACAATTATATATTACTTATAAATGATTAAGTACAAAATTAATAGTAGTCATTAAGATTGATGTGGTTTGGAATTGGTAAAATGTGCTTTTACCAAAAAAAAAATATGATCAGAATATCAACTTGCATAATAATTATGCACGTACTGTGTATATATATACAATTACGTCAAATAAATGCATTATATGATATTGGTAACACTTTACAATAACTTTACAAAAACTACACTTTACAACACCAATTAATGTTAGTTCACAATCAACTGCACTTAAAGGACAAAATAAGCAGAAATTGTCACATTTACACGAGATCATCAGACACAGAGAATACACACAGACAGGCACAATTCTACATAATTCTTTGTATTGATGACGTCAAGACTGCTCTCCAAAGTCAATAAGAGGAAATTAAGTGCCCTCCTTTTTTCTTTCTCAGTGCAATATTGCTCCAAACCTATTCAGTGCTGTAGAGATCCAGTGGCCCTCTTTTATCATAGTCATAAA